TAACAAAACAGAGAAAACCCCTCAATGTCAAAGGAAACAGAAAATAATAAAAACTAGAAAAAAATTTAAGTGAGTCAAAAAGGAGAACAAATGATAAGGTGTTATTTTATTTTATGCTTTTACCTTTTTAAATTTTTATAGTTTTCCCACCAGATTAAAGCATGGGATATTTTAACAGTATTATACATAATATTTTTTACATAGAAAACTTTACGGAGTATTTCATATTATATAATTCTACTTATTCTTTCAAAAATGTATACATCCATTGGACAAGGAATGCTTTTCATAAATCACCAATATTAAATGCACTTAATCATCATATATAGATTAAATCAAAGTAGCTCTTAACTAACCTTTAGTCATTTTAAGGAGGTAAAACATACATTTTGTGCATAAATACATATTTGATGCAAATATGCATATAGAACTTTTTAAAAATCACACTGAGGAAAACTATACCTTTGATAGTGTTTGGAACCTTTTTATTTTTTGAGCAAGAATTTTCAGAGCTATTTATTCTTTATTCAGTTTTGCATTTTGGGGTTCCCCCTCCCCAACTTCCGAACTTGATCATTAGTTAACGATGCTGACAGAAACCCAAGGATTTTCCCTGAGCTCAATCCATGTCTAACACAAACATTCAAACCGAATTCAGAAACTGCAGTATTACAGAGCCAGCATCGGTTTAAACGGAAATCTGCTGCAAGGTAACAACAAACACTTGAATGAGATGGTAAGACTCTCATGTGTTCTCTCATGGGCTCTTTAATAACTGTTAGAAGAATGAGATGTGTAGCCATAGATACAGAATAACAAGGGGAAAAAGTTGAATTTTTTCCTCCATTATATACAAAAGTAGGTAAGGTATTAAATTTTAACCTAACTACATTTGCATAAATCCAATTTCCAATGCACGCTGTCTGATAGCCAAGCAATTCATACCCTTGGTCACTGATCAGAGGGAATTCACTGGAGGCTTAGTCAATGTGGGGATCCTGCAAATGGACTGAGTGTTCCTCATCATTCATAGCCTTCTGCAAACTGGGTGCTCAGAATTAAAGCCCTCATACCATGCCTTCCTCTATTCTTGGACTTTATTACTTATAATCCTCAGATCACAAAGGCCAGTGTGCTTCTTCAGTGTGAATTTTTAAAAGGAGATAATTTTAAGCAAGTATGCTGCCTTTCTTACTGCCATCAAGTAGACTCTGATTCATAGTGACCCCAAGGAACAGGGTAAAACTGCCTGTGTGGGTTTCCAAGACTGTAAATCTTTACTGGAGTAGAAAACCTAATCTTTCTCCCATGGAGCAGCTGATGATTCTGAACTGCTGACCTTGAGGTTAGCAGCCCAACCTATGAGTTTGGAGTTTTTATATGGCCAAGGTCTAGCCCACTACACTACCAGGGCTAAAACTAACTGCTTTTGAGCCAATTCTGAGTCCTAGCAACACTACAAAACAGAACAGAACTCTCTTGGGGGTTTCCAAGAGTGTAACCTTTCCTGGGAGTAGAAAGCCTTGTCTCATTCCCCCGGGGAGTGACTGGTGGTTTTGAACTGCTGGTTAGTAGTCCATCCAGTGAGTCTGGAGTTTTTTATCTGGCTTTTCTAAAAACATATTGAAATAATGGTTTAAATCACCAGGAAACTTGACTTCTCTCCCACGCCCATATCTTGAACAACTCAAAATAAACCCCCAAGATGCCAACATTGTGCTTAAAGTGATGTTTTCTTTGTTTTATATAACCAAACGTAAACAGACACTAGCAGTTTTTCCACAGAAAGGGCCCAGCACTCGGAGGCATGAGCACTGGTTTTCAATCATTTCAGGTGGGGGAGAGCCCACACCAGCCGCAAGAAATGGGGTTACACCGTGTCCCGAAGGCTCTTGCGTCTACCAGCTGGTGGTTGGCCAATTTATGGCCCTGTGGTCTCACTGTCCCCTTTCTCCACTAGGCCCTTACTACATGACAATAATATATTGAGAAAATTGTAAAAGATAAATGAAAATATGTGGGGCAATTAATTAGAAAAACTGATATTCCCGGAAGTCCCTGAAAACCATAGTATTTAGCTGAACTAGTTAGAATGTCTGCCTTAGGCATTATTTTCTTTTAAGATCTCTCTCTAGGGGATCAAATTGACAACAACAACCTGAAAGATTACAACAGGCACCTCAGGAGGTAATGAGTTTATGTTAATATGGTAGGAGCAATTCGAGATAGGAAAGTGAGAATGGTTGCACAATTCAAATATAATCAGTCTCCATGAATTTTACCTGTAGAATTTTGAAAATATATAAGCACCAGAAAATGATGGGCTAGCATGGATAGAATCACCTCCCATGGGGAAGATCTGGGATCAATCCCCAGTAAAATTCACAGTCATCACTCACCTGTCTGTAAGGACCTGTATGCTTCTACATTTAAAAGCTTTCAGCAGACCTGCCAGATTAAGATGAGTTAGGAAGAAAGGCCTGGCAATCTACTTCAACAAGAGCCCTAGGGGTTGCATCAGTCGGATCAGCAGTGGATCCTGGGGCTAGCATAAAACCGGGCAGTATTTTGTTTGGTTATGCATGGGGTAACCATGAGTCTGGGCAGACTTGATGTGCATTAACAATATGAAATATCATAGAAGTATGAGTCAGAGTATATTTAATATTTAGTTTACATTCCTTTTTCATTCCATCCTCTCAGGGAGGTAAAGATGGACAGTGTTAGTATGTTTTATACTTCTACATTCATTCATCGGGGATCCATCTTCCACCATGAAACAAAAAGCATTTTGTAGTTTTCTAATGCTTTCACATTTAATTCCTTTATAGGATTGGCAGGGCAGGAGATGGGGAAAGTGAGGCGTAGGTCTAGCATGTTAAGTGCATCGCCTGCGTTCACTCAGCTGATTTTCAGACGTGATGTTGTTGTTGGGCGCTGCTGACTCAATTCTGAGTCATAGTGGCCCCACACACAACAGAACGAAACTGCCTGCTCCTGAGCCATCCGCAGTTGTTCTTATGCTTGAGCCCGTTGATGCAGCTGTTGTGTCAGTCCATCTGATGGAAGGCCTTCCTTTCTCTTGCTGCCCAGCTAGTTCTTCTCCAGGGACTGGTCTCTCCTGACACCGTGTCTGAAGTACGTGAGATGACGTCTGTAAGGAGCATTCTGGCTGTACTTCTTCCACGACAGATTTGTTTGTTCTTTCGGCAGTCCCTGGTACTTCCAAGTCTTCACACACACAGAGCTCTTTTGTGCTGAAGATGACTTGGCCCTCCTGCTGACATCTGGCAGTGTCTGGAGAGGATTATTGTCAAAACTGAGGTTGCCATTGGTACCTAGTGGGTAGAAGTTAGGGATACTGCTGAATATCCAAAATGCACAGAACAACTCCACTCCGCAGAGAATTTCCCAGATCCAAATGTCCACGGTGCCGAGGTGGTGCTTGTGTACTAGCGGCTACAGCAATTAGGAAAGAAAGGAGCTCAGGAGCATTTCCAACTCTTTCTCTGTGCTTTAAGAAGAAACAGAGTAGATCAGGGACTAGCTGGGAGCATCTAGACCCTCACTGTTCAAAATGTAGCCACAGCCCAGCAACATCCTAGTAGCTTGTTAGAAATGCATGCTTTCAAGTGTTACCTCAGGCCACTGTGTCAGACCTGCCGGGTATTTCTTGTGCCCATTGAAGTTTGAGAAGGACAAGTTCTAGTTTATCATCGGCTGGACAGCCCGCACACTAGCTCTGAGAGGTGGGCATGGAAACCAACCAACCAAACCTGCTGCTGTGGAGTCAATTCGGGCTCATAGTAACCCTGGAAGACAGAGTCAAACGGCCCCATAGGGTTTCCGAAGCCGTACTCTTTACAGAAGCAAACTGACCCATCTGTCTTGCATAGCAGCGCGTGGGTTTGAACCACCTGGTGGCGTCGTGATTATCAGTTGGACTGCTAACTGCAAAGCCAGTAGTTCGAGACCACCAGCCATACCACAGGAGAAAGAAGGGGGGTTCTACTCCCAGACAGAGTTCTAGGCTCAGAAACCCACAGGGGCAGTTCTGCCCTGACTTCTGGGATTGCTATGATTTGGCATCTACTCGATGGCAGTGAGGTTTTGAGTTTGCATTTCTTTCAGTTCGTAGGCAAGAACTTAACCACTGGGTCCCTGGGGCTCCTTGATGGGCATTGAGCTCAACTGTAAATCTCACCAAGGAATTAGACCTCTACTACTCACAGCTTCTGGTTGGGGCTTTAGGCACAGTCATTTTCTCCTCAAATCTGGCCTGTAACCCAGTGGAACACACACCAATTCAACAGTTTCTACATGTTCCCTTTGGTGGCATTGATGGCATTCTCTGAGTTATATGACCATTTTCACTGTCACTTTCTGAGCTGTTCTCCCCTACTAACCTATATTCACTAACCCCTAGGGTTCTTGTCAGCCCTGGTGGTGTAATGGATTTACCCATTGGGCTGTTAACCACAAGGGTTTGAACCAACTAGCCGCTCCATGGGCAAAAGATGAGGCTTTCTGCTTTGTAAGATGTGAAGCCCACAGGGGAAGTTCTTTTTTGGCCTGTACGGTTGTTATGCATTGGAATCAACTTGATGGCAGTGAGCTTTACTTTTGGGGGGAGACAGGAGTTGTTTCAGGTTCATGTCTAACCTTTCAAGATGTTGGTATCCACTTGATCCCATTGAGAGAGTTCTTAACACACTATTCAAGGCAGAATTTTCCCCCAGTTAAGCTAAACTACTGTTTACTTTGAAGAAAACTTCGGGGATATTTTTTGGTCTAAGATTTAAGATGGTCTCCGGGCAATCATAGTTTTAGGGGTTATTGAAGCCTTTGTGTCTCCAGGAAGACTAGAATTTATGGAAATGTAAAATTCTTCCCTGCACTTTACGCCTTTTGATAAAAATTCTTGGGTAAGGAAGTACACGTGTAAGAGTTTCATAATTACCTTTGCCGTTTTTTCTCTTTCCCTTGTCTTTTCCTCCCAGGCCTACATTCTGCTGGGACAGTTCCTTCTGATGCACAAGAGTGAGGCTGAGTTTCAGAGGTGGCTCATTTGTTGTTGCGGTGCCACCGAGTGTGAAGCCCAGGAGAGTTCTAACTGTCTGAAGGAGTGGTGTGCCTGCTTCTTGTAGACACAGCCCTCACCACTCCCACCAGAATAAATGAGGCATCCTTGACATTAGACACAGGCTCAGAGTGTTTACTGGTTGCTATTTTTATTAATTTGATTCTGATTATACATGCTCATGATAAAAATAGTTCAAGAATATGCAAAAGTATAAACACAAGAAAAATGACCCCGATTTCCGCCACCCGGAAAAATCTGTCATTCACTGTAAGTGAACACCATATAAATAACTCTCGGCATACATTGATAGAAGAGAAGGGATAGGTGATTTTATTTTTATGAACATCTACACAGTATTTTTTTAATCTTTAAAATTCAATGCATTAGTTACATGTTGCTGAATAACAAATAATCCCAAAATGTAGCAGCTTAAAATAATAAGCAATATTCTTCCCCATATTCTCAGAGGGTCAGGAAAATGAACGTTGCTTAGCTGGCTGGTTATATCTCAGCACCTGGCATGAGGCTGAAAACTCCCAGCTGAGACTGCAGTCATCTGAAGGCTGGATTGGGGACAGGGGTTTCACTTTCTAAATAGTTTATGTCAGGGGGCAGCACTCCATTCCTTTCATGTGGTTTTCCCTGTGGGGTTGTCGTGGTGTGGTATCTGGCTCCCCTAAATCAGTAATTCAAGAGTGAGGGATCAATCAGGAAGCTACAATACATTTTATCACCTAGTCTCGGAATCACAAAACTTCACTTCTTCCCTTATTCTATTCGTTAGAAGCAATTCCACTCCTGGGCAAAGCTTACAAAACAAAGATTCAAGAATAGACTTGTACACCAACATTCATTGCAGCAATATTCACAGTAGCTAAAGGGTGGAAACAATGTAAATGACCATCAATAGCTGATGGATAAACAAAATGAGGTGTACACATACAATATGATACTACTCGGTCATTAGGAGAAATGAAGTCTTGATACCGTATGGATGGAGCTGGAAGATATTATGCTGAAGGAAATAAATCAATCACAAAAGGCAAATATTGTATACTTTATATAAATGACAAGAAAATGCAAATGATATGAAAGATTATTAGTGATCACCAGAGGCAGGAGGAAGGAGGGAAAGGAGGTGTTAATAGTAATGGAAAGTTTGAAATGATTAAGGTGAGGGTTACACAGCTGATTATTGTTAAGTGCTGTCAATAAGTTGTACACTTGTAAAAAGTTGAATTGGCAACATTTGTCCTGTATTTACAACAAAAAGTAGCTGCTGAGACTTCGCACAAACAAACAAACAAACAAGCAAACAAATATCTCCACAGTTTGGTTTCTTGGCTTGGAGGTTGAGGTAGTTAGTTTATTGTGCCAACCTGGTCGATAAACACATGTGGGGTTAATTGAAGGGCAGAGAGATAAATGGCTCAGTGAGCCTCGCCTTTTGAGTTCTCGGGTCTCTTGCTTTGTGATGGTCGCACCAGGGTGCAGCTGCCTTAGCCAGTTCCCTGCTTCAGCTGGCAAGGCTCACTTCCTGCAAGACATCCCCGAGGAGAAGCCACATGGACCTACCCTGATGCAGCCTGGGTGCTGGAGCAGCTGTGTGGAGACCCCTGCCAGCGCTGAGATGCTTACACATTCACTGACACAGTTGGCATCATTGCATCTGTTTTGTGAGATGGAGGAGGACTTTGTGGATTGGTGTTGAACATATGGGTTAATGTTGGACATGTGGGCTTGGGCAGCACTGGGTTAGGATGTTTTCTTGATGGGCGCTTAAGCTTTATATAAAACTCTCTCTTATACATAAGTTTCTGTGGATTTGTTTCTCTAAAGTACCCAGACTAACACGGAGTTTATGGTCATTGCTTCATGGGACATCTCATGTAATTGATCTAAAATAATAATTAGTGCTTCTAGTCTACCTCCTACTTGGTTGCCCAGTGTCTGGAGTGTGGAAAGCTTGGAATGAGAAAGCTATACAAAGAATATTGAGAACCAAATAAAGCTGGTGCATTTGAATTATGAGGTTGATGAAGATTATTGAAATTACCACGGACTGCTAGAAGAACAAAGATCTCTTTCCTGGAGGAACTACAGCCAGAATGCTCCTTAGAAGTAAAGCTGGTGAGACTTTGACATGTTATCAGGAGGGACTTCCATGTATACTCGTGTATAAGCCAAATTTTTCAGGACATTTTAAATGCAGTTTTTGTGGTAAAATTAGGTGCCTTGGCTGATATTCGGGTTGCCTTATACTCGAGTATATACGGCAATTATCTGGAGAAGTACATCATTCTTGGTAAATAAGAGTGTCGGTGCCAAGAGGAAGAACCTTGATGAGATGGATTGCCACAGTGTCGGCAACAAGGGCTCCCACATGACAATTGTGAGACTAGTGCTCTACCAGGCAATGTTTCATTCTGGGGTCTCTGTGACGCCAAACTGATTGGAGAGCACCCAGAAACAGCACTAACATGGAATGCGTGGCTCGTTGCCTCCATGAACAACTGTCTCCTTTGTCATGAGAACAGAAAAACTGCATGGGACCCAGCTATAATTACTGAGTCCTGGTCAACAGGGAGAAATAGCAGAATAGAATTTCAGATTGTCGTGGGATCTAGACTTTCTGGAGCCATGGAGAGTGAGTGAAATTCTGAAACAATTGTCCTGATGTAACCATAAATCTTAAATCAAAATTATTCCCTGAAGCCTTCTTAAAATGGAACAGGTATTTCAGCTTAACTAGTAAAAAAGTCCTGATTGAGCAACCTGCTCCTTTAAGAACTAGCTACATAGGACCAATTTGACAGCAGCACCTTGAAATATTGGCTAGAAACCTTCGAGGGCGGTGGGTTTATGTCCCTGAGAGAACAACAACTCAGAAAGGAGAAGAGTAGAATCTGAGTCACTGAAAGGTACATTTAGAAGCTGCTGAATTTGCGTCCATTTTGTTCTGTACAACAAAATAAAATTGAAAGGAAAATAAACGATTGGTCTCTTCAACTTTCACTTTTATTCTACACCCTTTTGTCACATGATTTTCAATACCTCCCACTAGAAGTGAATCAATCACAAAATGACAACTATTGTGACTATTTAGACTTTGGCTGGGTTTCGTGACTTGGTTTTAGTCAGTGGTGTGAGGTCACTCTGAGCTGGAATTGACTTATGGGCAGTGATTTCTTTCTTTGAGACCCAGATGACAGGGTGACCAATCTGTTCTATTCTTCTTGTTAGATGCCATGGGGTTGGGAAGCTGTGCACTGGAATGAAACCCTCCCCAGGGCTGCCCGGTCCTCACGATGGCATGTGAGCCCGTTGCTGGAGCCAGTGTGCCAGTCTCTCTCACTGAGGGTCTTCGTCCTTATCTCGGATCCTCCACTTTCACAAACACGATGTCCGTTGATAGGCCCCGCGGACTCTCCCGATAATGTGTTCAAAGTCCATGAGGGGAGCCTCACTATGCTTGCTTGTAAGGAGCATTCTGGTTGCACTGCCTTTGGGAGAGATCTGTGTGTTCCCCTGGCAGTCCATGACAATGTTAATAGTCTTCACCAACCCCATACTTCAAAGGCACCAACTCTTCTTTGGTCTTCCTTATTCATTGCCTAGCTTTTGCATGCATGTGAGGTGATTGAAAATACCATGGCTTGGGCCAAGCAGCATTAATCTTCAAAGTGACAATTCTTTTTTTTTTAATCATTTATTTAAAAATAAATCTTTTTATTAGGGGCTCATACAACTCTTATCACAATCCATACATACATCAACTGTGCAAAGCACATCTGTACATTCATTGCCCTCATCCTCAAAACATTTCCTCTCCACTTAAGCCCCTGCATTAGGTCCTCATTTTCCCCCCTCCCTCCACGCTCCCCCCTCCCTCATGAGCCCTTGATAATTTATAAATTATTATCTTGTCATATCTTTCCCTGTCCAATGTCTCCCTTCATCCACTTTTCTGCTGTCCGTCCCCCAGGGAGGAGGTCACATATAGGTCCTTGTAATCGGTTCCCTCTTTCCTACCCACTCTCCCTTCTACCCTCCCAGTATCACCATTCACACCACTGGTCCTGTAGGGCTCATCCGTCCTGGATTCCCTGGGTTTCCAGTTCCTATCTGTACCAGTGTGCTTCCTCTGGTCTAGCCAGACTTGCAAGGTCGAATTTGAGTCATGGTAGTGAGAGTGGGGAGGAAACATTTAGGAACTAGAGGAAAGTTGTATTTTTCATCGTTGTTACATCGCACCCTGACTGGCTCATCTCCTCCCCGAGACCCCTCTGCAAGGGGATCTCCAGTGGCCTACAAATGGGCTTTGGGTCTCCACTCCGCACTCCCCCCATCATTCACTATGGTAAGATTTTTTGTTCTGATGATGCCTTACACCTGATCCCTTCGACACCTCGTGGTTGCACAGGCTGGTGTGCTTGTGACAATTCTTTTTTATCTTTAACGCGATGAAGAGGTCTTTTGCTGCAGGTTTTCCCAATGCAATACATCATCCGATTCCTCTTTTATTATTATCAATTATTTTATTGGGGGCTTTTACAGATCTTAAAACAATCCATACATTAATTCTATTAAGCACACTTGTACATATGTTGCTATCATCATTTCCAAAACATTTTCTTTCTACTTGAGCCGTGGTATCAGCTCTTTTTTCCCCTCCCTCGTCATTTGAGTACTTTACTGCTGTTTTCATGAGCTTGGGTTATGGCTTGAAGTACAATGAAATCCTTAACAAATTCAATCTTTACTTTGTTGATCAAGATGTTGTTTATTGGTCTAGTTGTGAGGGCTTTTTTTTTTTTTTAACTCTCTGTTGAGTTGTAATCCATACTGGAGGCTATAGTCTTTGATCAACATCAGCAAATATAACACATTTGCTTTGCTTTTAACAAGCAAGCTTGTGCCATCTGCATCTCACAGTTGTTAATGAGCCTTCCTCCAAACCTGGTGGCATATTTTTATTCTTATACAGTCCCTAGTGCTCACTGCCATTGATTCGATGCTGCTCAGAGTGGCCCTACAGGACAGGGTAAAACTGCACTGTGCATG